ATAATCCCAACATTTAGGAACCTGAGATGGGAGGATCTTGAGTTCATAGCCAGTCTAGGTTACATATTGAATTCAAGTCTAGCCTGGACTACATAGTCTCAAAAATCCAAACAGCAACAACAATCCTATTAAGTTCAAGGGCACCCCAGGCCAGAGGAAGGTTTATAGTACTAGCAGCATCCAGCCCACAAGTGCACACCAAGTTCAACTATCTACTTGAAAGCCACCCTACCAAGTGAGGGTGGGAGGGGGTCCCAATAGGCCTTGGATATAATGGCTTTGAGGTTAGTTTTTCCTTTGGTGATTCCTAGTCAAGATGAATCTCTTGTCTTTCTAACACCAGGACTTGTACTGTTTCCTCTCAGCTGCCAAAAGAAGTGAGTGTTTACTGTACTTCCTCTAAGTATCTCACAGGGCTTTGGTTCCCTGGCTAGTAAGAAAGAGGCTGCTGATGGGCTGGAGATGGCTCAGTGGTTAAGACCACTGGCTGCTCTTAGAGAGGACCAGGGTTCAGTTCCCAGCACCAACATGGAGGCTTACAACTATCTAACTCCAGTTCCAAAGGAACTGACACTCTCTTCTGGCTTCTGTGGGCACTGCATGCACATGGTGCACTTACAGAGATGCAAAGCACTCTACACATAACATAAAAAAGTTTGTAAATATTTTTTATTATTTATAGTAAATACAAATTTTAAGAAAGAGGCTGCTGAGCTGGGGGCATGTCTTCTGTCACCAGATCTATCTTCTGCACACCTGCCCCTGTCCATTTCTTTCTGGTGTGACTCGGGACATATAAGGGCAAGATGCTGGACTGGCAGTTGCACTGAGCTATATGTACCTAGTCCACACAGTGCTGCTGTTCAGCCTTGGGCAAATCACTTCCATGCTCAGAGCTGCCTCTCACCTGCAGGAGGTGCTGCTGAGCTATCTGTCTCTGTTCCACAAAGAAATGGAGTCTCCCAGGTTTTAAGATATATGCTTTTTTTTTTTTTCCTGTCTTTTTGAGACAGTGTCTCCCTGTAACCAGAGCTGACCTGGATTTGCTATGGAGACCAGGCTGGCCTTGAACTCACAAAAATCCACCTGCCTCTGCCTCCCGGGTGCTGAGATTAAAGGCATGCACCACCACACCCGGCTAAGAGATATACTTTTTAAATGGTGTAATCTGTGGCGTTGGCTATCCCACGCTTGGGCTTGATCAGACATCAGTGTCACTCCTCTGACCACTGGGAAAACCCTTTCTCCCTTACACTGTTACCAGCTCAGATCACCCACCAGTCCAGACAGTGGGCTAGTCTCAGGCTCCAGGGTTCCACCTGGCTACTGGCTGGGGATTTCTAGCAAACTGTAATGAGCAGAAGTCAGCTCGAGGAATACTGGTGCCTCTGGAGTTGATATGACTTACTGAGTCCTGGACTCAGGCTGCAAGTGTGTTGATGTTGGCTGCTGGCAGGGCAGTGGGCTGGGGCAAGTTCCAGGCTGGTGCCAAGCCTGCAAACAAAACTGCCTACAGGGAGGAGGGGACCCCAGGGGCTGCTATGTATGACTCTTCTAAATCGTCCTTGTTAATGTCTTGACCTCTTCCCTCAAACCCCAGTTCTCATGGCAAGCCCCTCAATCCAACATAATGCATTCCTGGCTCCTCCTCCTGACTCTGGTCGGTTTCTGTCTTGTAAACTCCATCTCCTCCTTGAATCCCTGTGGCCCTGTTCTGATTTGGTACAGCCTTGTCTTTGTCTGAAATCACAGTTGCCTCTTAACAGATGGACAAGCCTCTAGTCTATGAGTTACTATCGTCCCATCCCTGTTTGTATGCATGTACTGCCTGCATGTAGGTAAGTGCACCCATGTCGTGCAATGCCTGCAGAGGACAGAAGAGGCTGTCAGATCCCCTGGAACTAGAGTTACAGACAGTTGTCAGCTGCCATTGGGTGCTGGGATTCGAACCCCGGTCTTCTGCAAGAACAACCAGTGTTCTTAACCGCTGAGCCATCTCTCCAGCCCTCTAAGCTCATTTTAAAGGCCTCCTATGTCTTCCTGTCTCCAATGTGTCATTGGATGTGTGGGACAGAACAGGTGCTCAGCTTTAATCAGTGAATGGATAAATGCTCCCAAGAGAAGGTTAAGAGTGCCGGCTCACCTGTCTTTGACTCCTCTCAGCCTCAACATTCTGACACCCCACCCCCATCAGATTCATGACTGCCTCCAAAATGGGCCAGCTTTCCTTTTCATGGAAGGAATTTCCTTTGGACTTTATTAAAAACGTTTTAATGGGTCTAAATTTAACATTTTCACAACTTACATAATATATTTTGATGTCCACACCACCTTCCTCACTTGTTTCCCGTCCCCTCCTGCTGACCCCCTTCCTCTTGGCAACTAGCACCTCCTCCTGTTTTCATCTCATTTTTTGTGTGTGTGCCTCAATGAACTTCATTAGGGCTGTTTGTAGGAACATGGGCATCTTACTAGTGGCTGTACCACTGAAAAAAAGGGCTCTTCCTCCCAAACAACCATAAACTGAACATAAATCTTCAGGAAGGGGTGGGGCTCATGAGCCCCTTCTCATTACATGACAGGATGTTGACAGGCCCAATCTCATGCAGATCATAGCTGACTTCAAGTGCATTAGCTGCTATACCCAGAAGTTAGTGCTCCACACCACACCCCTCTATTCCTCCAGCTCTGACATGCTCTTTCACTCCTTCAACAACATTCCAAGCCTTGGAGGGTGTAGTGTGAGGTGTGAGGTATCAGTATGTATGTGCATGGTGTAATCATGGTCATGTATATGTGCATGTTTACCCAGGCACACGGGGGTGGAGGCCAGAGGTTTATGACAGGTGCTTTCTATCACTCTCCACCTTATTTTTTGAGGCAGGGTGTCTCATTAAACCCCAAGCTGGCTATTGCAGCTAGACTATTTGGAAAGCAAGCCTATCTTCGCTCCCCAGTGCTAATTATAGGCATGCCTGGTTTTACATGGATGCTGGGGATCTGAACTTGCTTCATGCTTGTGCCACAAGCACTTTACTGAACCATTTCTTCACCTCCCGACTCCCACTCTGACTCTTTAGCCTTTGGTTTGATCTAAATATGTTACTTCTGCCTCTGCTGCAGTCCTGCATTCAAGGGCCCTGATTTCCTTGGTTCCCTGCCTGAATTTCTGTCCTGTTCTATAGGCTTTGCAGGATATTTTTATGGCTAGCACATAGGTGCTCATTAAAGATATCAGAAATGAGGCTGGAGAGAGGGCTCAGTGGTTAACAGTACATACTGTTCTTACAGAGGACCCAGTTCAGTTCCCAGCTGTAGGGCAGTTCATAACTACCTATAACTCCAGCTCCAGAGCACCCAATGCCTCCAGCTTCTGCAGGCTCCTGCACTCAACATGTACACACCCTCCCCACCACCACATAATTAAAACTAATAAAAATTAAAAGGTATCAGAAGTGAACATATGGTCCTTTCTCTGCTAGGATCTGGTGGGTTGTCAGTAGACCTGGAATCAATGCATAGATGCTGCCCCCTAGTAGTGGCTGTGGGCAACCCATTCCACACCTCTGAATTCCAGTTACCTTGCCTTTAGTTGGAACGTCTGACTCTTACACTTGAGAGACAAATGCATCCATCCTCAATGCACTGTGCTATGCTATATAGGAAATATCCTCACACAAAGCTCAATTAACATTTCATTCATACTCAGCCTCTAGTCATTATGTATAGAGAGGCCTCATTTCTCTGTCATCTTTCTGTTCTTTTAAGTCAGGTTTCTGGGCCCAAATAACTTCTACCCAGATCCTTTGTATCATTCAGGAGGCAGTGTGCTATAGAGACAACCTGGGTGTGACTCTGACACTGTCACTTCTGAGCCATGTATTTAAATGTCTCCCTTCTTGTAAAATGAACATAAAAGTGCCTGTCTCACAGGTTCCTCTGAGGATTTGATAAGAAAATTAGATGATGTTCAAACTTGGTAATCATTATGACTTGCCTAGTGAACAAAATCAGAGTGCCCCTGAAAACCTCATGCTGCCCCACTGCAGGCAAGAGGGCATGCAGTCCAGAAGCATGCGGTGGCTGTGGCAATGAGAGCCTAGAAAACACAGACCAGTTCGAATTCATCAGGTCTGGAATGAAGACGGACCCTGTACCAAGCTTCCAGGTGTGGCTGATGCCAGTGGTCTATGGATCATTCTTAAGTCTGAAACAGAGGTGTGATAGACTAGGAACTATCTACTGAGTGCTTTTTATGTGCTAGCTGAGATTTGCCAGCTGAGTTATTTAACTTAAATGGTTCCACAGGCCCTGTGTGGTATGTGCCCACTATGTCCATTTTCCAGCCAGTCACGAATGGGTGGTCCTTACATTCTAGTTTAGGCAGCTTGGCTGGGAGCCTGCTAGGAAGATGACTCCACTTGTGTGGAGAGTGACCCTGGGGTAAGGGTCACCAGCAAGGGACCAGTAAGGAAACCAGCAAGGGAATGGCAGTAACAAGTAAGAGATGATGAGGTCTAGGCCAGGGAGTAGCTGGGAAATGGAAAAGGGGAATAAGGGCCAGGGTACTCTAGGTGTCCAGTCTGGACAGCTGAGCCCTGGCCATACCTACCTCTTACTGAGTTAGGAACCATGGAAGCAAGAGCAAATTTGAGAGAAGTTAGTTACCTGGGAAAGACACGTGGAGTAGATGGAGCTAAGTGTCTAGAGCTCAGGAGATGATCTGGGCTGTGGATAAAGCTTGGCGTTGGTGTAAGTGAAGCCTCTTAGTGATGGAAGTCAAAGGGGCAGACTGTCCTGTTCTGAGCCAACTGAGATGGGACTAGAGTCCAATTCCTTAGGCTGTAGTGAAGCCTGGCTCTGCCATCTCCTGGGTTCGGATCTGGGGAGCAGGTAGAACACAAGGTGGGCTATGTGGAAAGGGCTTTGGGATTTGGTGGCAACTAAAGTCCAATGGACTGTTCCCAACCCACAGATCAGCAAAAATAAGGGCAGCTCCATAGATGAATAAAGGTTGGGAGATATTTATTTTCTTTAAACAAGGTCATAAATAACAAAGAAACAAAGTAGGTCCCGGACTCTGGACCATGCAGCAGGACAGGGATAGGAAGTTGTTAGGTGAAAGATGGAGAGGGTTACACATCACCTAAGACAGTCACGGAAGATGGGCTTCAGGGGACTGCCCTACCTGCCTGTGGAAATGGCATGCCTGGGCAGCAAGAGGAGGCCGCAGTGCTGTGACGAGGCAGCTGGATGAGGGCAGAGACTGGGATATTAGGCTGTAATGTGTTTACGTAGGGTGCTATGAAAACCACAAGTGGTAACGAGCTGTGGGTCTAGAAGAGGCAAGTGGGCATTCTGCACACCTCCAGGAACCAACTATGAAAATGGTTAAATTCAGTCATTAAAAACAATTCCACCGGCTGTTGCCTGTGGTTTTGTGCGTGGGCTGTATTTAACCTGGGTTGCTCTGTGGCAGATAAGGACCCAAGAGACCCCTGGAGCAGCCTGGCCTCAGCCCAGGGCAGGTGCCCAGACGTGTGGGAGTGGGACAGTGGGCTCGCCCAGATGGGAAGCCATGTGCTTGGACTGGCTGGACCTGGTTTGCAGGCTGGTTTCTTGGGATGCTTGCTATCTACCACCCCTCCTTGTACCCAAGGCTGGGATTCTGGCCTCTCTGGATCTTCCAGACTTGGAAGAGTAAAACTGGGACACAGATACCTGACTGGGGTTTTATTTGAAAGGAAAAAATAAGGACCAGTGGTGCATTGCCCATCCCATGAGGTAGGGCAAGACCATGCCGAGAACAATCTCAAGGAATGGAGGTCCCTGAGCCTGAGGAGACATTTGGACCCAGGTGCATTGCCTGATGCCAGGAATACCCAAGGTGGTAGCTCTGGAGGCTTGATCCTAGGCACAGCAGGGAGAATAGTCAGAGGGAAGGGGTAAGAGCTGGGGACCCCAGACTGGGCAGGCCAACATTGGACAAGGGCCCAGGAAAACAATGCTTTTGACAGGAATACACGAAAGGGTTTATACATCTGGGGATGCCCATATACAGGGAGCCGGTGTCACATGGCTGGGCAAGATGGTGAGGAGACAGCGGCATCACAGTGGCCTCTGGTGCGATGTATTTACAACAGAGCTCAATGTAGAGGGAAGGATGGACAGCAGGTCACTAACAGCCAGGAAACACACTGTCAATGGTAGAGAGAGAAGGGGAAACAAATGTAACCATCACAAGCTTCTGTCTAGCTTTCCCCTTCCTCTAGGGGGCCCTCCCTAATGACCGCCAAGGCCCCTGCAGGCCTGTCCCATCATCATAGTCCCACTCAGGGCTAGACAGAGGGGCTGCTCTCAGTGGATCGTTCATTTGATTAGCATTCCAAATGGTCCAGAAGCCCCCAAACACTTTTTATTAAGAGAAATGAAGTCTTCACTATTGACTCTGGAGTCCCTGATGGTCAGTTGCTAGAGGGATGTCACAGCCTAAGGGCATCAGTTGCCTGGTTCACTGTACCAGGTTCCTGTTATCATGTCTAATGCCCACCAAGTCTGCCACTTTCATCTCCCTGGGCCTGGCCTTCAGAGTTGTCTAAAGCAGATGTTTCTTCTTCAAACTTTCTGTGGGTGGGGCACAAGTTCCCCCAAACCCTACCAAAATCAGAGGAGGCTTTCCAACAACAGGAGAGATGCCTGTGTGACATGGACTGAGAAGCAAGGGCCTCCTGAACTACACTAGGCGCTCGGGAGGTGGACCAGGAACACCTGGCTTGGGTCACCATGCCTTTCCTTCCTCCTCAACAGCCTAATGTGCCTCCCTACTCAGATGAAGCACTTCCCAGAATGAAGGCCTGGCTCATTTCTTCTTCCAGACCAGTAATTCTTTCATTTCTGCCTCCCTTGAGATGGAATACTGTCTGGAAGCAGTAGTCCTGTCTGTGGAGTACTGTCTGTGGAGGAGTTGTTCCTGGCAGTTACTGGGTAGAGGCCAGGGTGCTGCTCAACATACAGTACAGAGGACACCCCCTGCCACAGCAAAGAATCTTCTCCCCCCAAATGTCAATAGTGTTGGGATTGGAAACCATGCTCTAGATTTCTATACAATCTCCATGGCCTGCCCAGCTCTGCTCAACAGGAAGCAGGAAACAGAAACTTTCTGGTGAAGACTGATTCCCACCCAGCCTCTGCAGTGAGACAGGAGATGAGGCAAAACTCACACAGCCTCAGCAAGACCCTACTGAGCCAGAGCCCAACACAATCAATGAGGCTCAGAGGGAGCACACAATCGGCTCTGTGCAGAGGAACAACAGTACAGGCAAAGTGACCCAGACCAGGCAGGGCTAGGACGAAAGTATTCACAGCCCTATAGACACTGGAGTCCTGAGGTGGGCTAGTCCCCACTGGACTCACACACCCCATGGTCCTTACCACTGGAATCCTCCAATAGGCTCTGCAAACCTGTGCCGGATCAGGAACGTGGCCACGGCTTCTGCTACCTGTTAAAGGAAGATAGATTTCAAGTCCTTGGAAGTAAGTGCTAGGGCTTAGCACTGGAAGTCTTGTGGGCTTCCACTGGAAGGTGAGGCTCACCGGTATCCTCATGAGTCCCATAGTCTGGGTAGTATGATATCAAAAGGATCTGAACTAGAAGACTCACTGCAAGGGGGTGGCTCCAGAGAGCTCAAGAAGAATAAGGGCTTATTTATCCCCTTAAGATTTACAAAGTATGTTTCCTTAAGGAGTAAGGAATTTAGGTGGCAGTGCCTACTCCAATCACTCTTCTATCTGGCTTTAGCGGGTGATGAAGAAGCAGATCTTAACCACAGGACCTGGGATGAAACAGCAAAGACCAGTAGCTCCTCAGCCCAGACATAAAAGCCAAGGGATCACAGGTAGTCACCAGGAACAGGTTTGGGGAGCTGGAAGAATGACATAGTTCCTAAAGGAGCTGCTGCAGGTAGTACAGGCTGACTCAGTTCTACACATTTCCTGTGAAATTCCAGTTCCTCCAAAGTCACCAAGTGCCAGCCTCACCTTGTCAGGGGCATCCTCATGGACTGCATGGCCACACTGGGGTAGGACCTGCATCTGGAACTTCCCTGGAGAGGAACAAAGCCAGACAACCTCAGGGATGAAAAATGGTCCCCTTACCGCCTCTGCACCTTCACAGGTCGCCTGGCAGCCCAGGAAGGCCTCCCCTCAAAAACACTCCAGACACAGCTGCCAAATCTGATGAGTATGCTGACTTTTATAATCATAAACTTGGGCCAGACGCCCTCCCTTCACTTTTTCCTTCTATATCAACTTAGTGTAAATTTAATTTGGGTGGAAAAAAGCAGCTCCTGTCCTCATAGGACTTACACTCCAGGGGGAAAGTAAAACAAACAAAAAAAAAAACCCAACTTTTTTTTTTTTTGGTCTTTTTGAGACAGAGTCTCCCTGTAGCCCTAGCTGGCCTGGATTCGCTATGGAGACCAGGCTGGCCTCAAACTCACAGAGATCCATGCAGCAGGTAGCTTCAAAGGTGAAACTGGGCATGTGGGCTATGAAAGTCTGGGAAAGGGGCTTTACTAGCCAACAGAAATCCAGACAGGCTTCCCTATAGACAGAGCAGCCTATCCAAAAGGAGAAGGCATGGAAATAAGTCTGACACAGTGCCTCTGAGAGTGGTTAGCAAAGGGGCTGAAGAGGAAAAGCAGGGACCACATATAGACCTCTGTAGGCTGTGTTAGGGAATTTGAAATTTATTACTACAGAAGTTACCATACTCAACAATGTGCCAGACACTATAAAGTGCACTTTCTCACACTGCCATATGGAACACTGCAAGCTTACTACTAACAGGATTTTGCTTGTTTCAGTTCTTGGGACTGAAACTATGGCTTCAAGCATACCAGGCAAACACAACATTAAAGAAGCTGGCAATTTGAGGCTGGAGAGATGGCTCAATGTTTAAGAGCACTGGTTGCAGCATCCACATGGTCGCTAACAACCATCCTAACTCCAGTTCCAGAGGCTCCGATGTCCTCTTCTGACCGCTGTGGGCATTGCACAACATGAGTGCACTTGCATGCAGGCAAAACACTTAAAAAAATTTTTTTGAAAAAAGAAGTTGGCAATTTGGGGCTGGAGAGATGGCTCAGCAGTTAAGAGCACTGGCTATTCTTGCAGAGAGCCCAGGTTCAGTTCCCAGCACCCACCATGGTGGCTAACCCACGCTCGTAACTCCAGTTCCAGAGGATCCAATGTACTCTTCTGGCCTCCGCAGGCACTGAACGCAAAAAGTGCACTATATATACATATAGGCAAAACCCTCATACACATAATAATAAACAAATAATTAAAAAAAATAATTTGGCAATTCATTCAAGTCACAAAACTGGTGACAATGACTCAAATCCAGGACTGTCTGATTCCAAGGCTTGTTGGTGATCAACACTGATTTCAAATGCTATTCAATACTGAATCAACTGCTTTTGGACAGTCTCACGGGCTGGGCCAGAGACTTCTGTCCACCTAGCATCAAGCACAGGTCTTTAAGGAAAGGTTTGTTTAAACTGTCTTTCCAGAATTACCATCAGAACCAACAAAATCAGTCCTAGTTCATGGTCCTACCCCAGGACACAAGAGTATGGGAAAAAAAATGTGTATATCATTCAAGAGACTGCAGAGAGCAATAAAGTCCTGGAGAGCTTAAGGATGGTTAAAGAAGCAGTCACAGAAACCTAAGCAGAGATGTCTAGCATATTCAGTATATGGGCCAGGACTGGAGCTCAGAAGAGAGGCTGAGTCAGCTGTTCAGCTTTGACAGTGCTCAGGTATAAACAGAAACCACAAAAAACTAAGCAGAGAAGCAGAGTGGTCAAGAACAGAATTTGTCTGAGCCTGAAGCCTTGGACTTGGTGCCTTCTCTTCTTGCAATCCCAAAGTTGGGATGTTGACTGACTTTGCCTTCACAGTGTCTTTCGTTTACACTAAGCAAGAAATTTCAGAAAACTGGTCCCACCAGCCCTGCTGCTCTAGGACCCACCCTTGACCTGTAGTTTGTAGCTACTATTTCCCTTTCTAAAAGGGAAATGCTAATAAATAATAAAATGCTAATATTTAGAGTCTCTCTATTCACAATATATATCTATGTAATAATACTTTTCAAACACATTGCTTCACTTTAATCCTTTTAACTTAGAGACACAGGTAATGTTATACCTCTCATTTTTAGATGGGAAAAAAAAAGACAATTACTGTTCAGAAAAGTAAATACTTAATATAATCACAAGGTGGGTCAGGAGAAATGGCTGTCAGATGAAGGCCTGACTATAAATCTCAAGTTCCATTGTACTTCACCATCTAGGAATACCAGCATTCACACAACTGCCCATTTCTCTGCCCTCAGAAAAAGATCAAAGGGCATAATTTCTGGATAACTTACCCTGCATCTGGCCTATGGTAAGATCTTTATCCAATCTATCAACACCTAGAACAAAGCAGGAGAACCTGTGAGTAGCTCACTAGAAAAGGCCTTGTGAAATAGGTTTTGCTGATCAAGTACTAAGTGAAAATTGTTACAAAGCTGCAACTGGATGGCACTCTTGGCTCAGGTTAACTCCAACCCTAACTCCCAGAGGCTATATTCTCTCCCTATGATATTTTCCAGGTTTCGATTTCTGGGGAATCATGCTTATTTAATGATGTGTATGGAAATGAGGTTCTACTGTTTCGATTCTCATAATATTCAGAACATTATTATACTGTTGTATGTAACCCTAGGGCGTGCACTTGGGTTTGACCTGGTACGAAGGCCAGGCCAAAATCATGCCATGGTGACTGGATGCTAACACCCCATTGGGTTTAGGGTCTGTAGGTGGGGAGGTTAAAGGGACAGCTGAGACTAAACAGCTCTTTACTCTGGAAGTCACTATTCATTTGGTTAGTATTAATAGTTTTAATGAGACCATCTACTCACACTTCTATGGACTGAACTGTCCCCCACAACTCTTGTTGAAGCCCTAACTAGCATTTGAAGATATGGCCTATAAAGAGGTAAAATTGTAATGGTGTGGTACTGACACAACAGTATTAATGTCTTTATAAGAGACAACAGAGAGCTCAGTCTTGCTTTCTTCTGCTATGTGAAAGCATGAGAAGGCAGCGTGTGCAAAGTGGGAAGACAACTCTGAGCCGAACTCAACCCTAGAGATACCCTGATGTCAGTCTTTCAGCCCCCAGACTGTGTGAAAGTATGTTTCTACTGTTTAAGACACTTAATCTATGGTATTTAAAAATATATATTTATTATTTTTATTTTATGTGTATGCATTGCTTGCATGTAGGTAAATGTACCCATGTTGTGCAATGCCTGCGGAGGACAGAAGAGGCTGTTGATTCCCCTGGTACTGGAGTTACAGACAGCTGTTAGCTGCCATGTGGGTGCTAGGATTTGAACCTGGTCCTTCTGCAAGAACAACCTGTGCTCTTAACCGCTGAGCTATCTCTCCAGCCCGAATCTATGGTATTTATTATGGCAGCCAAGCTAACTAACCCCGCCCTGCATCCCCCCCCCCCGCCGCCCCCCATACACACACTTACCAGCCAAGAGCAGCAATTTAGGAATAGGACAACTAAGAAAGAGATTGGATAAGCCCCGAAACCAGCCATCCCAGTACTTTTCTGTTTTTGCCAGTTCAATTCTCCAGGTATACGGATGATCTTTCTTGGTCTGTAGGAATAAAAGTAAACGCTGAGTCTCTGAGGACAATGCTTAGGTGAACAGGAAAAAAACTAGGTCTGTGGGAAAAGGAAAGGAAACTAGTACTTATTAAGGACCTATTATACCCCAGAAATTTTAATATATACTTAGTACTTACAAGTCTTGTGTAGGCTGTTGTAATTCCTACTTTAGATCACTTGAAATTCTCTTTTTTACCTCAGTTTGGTTTCTCCTGGCTCAGATGATTCTCCTGCCTCAATCTCCAAAATAGCTGGTACTACAGATGTGTGTCAACATACCCAATTACTTCTCTTTGTTTTGGTGAACTTAGGAAACTTTCTTAAGATCACAATAGTAGTTAATTACAGAGCCAGGAATGAGCTTTTCTTATAAAGACCACATTATAGTAAAATAATGCTTACAAAATATTAAGTGAAAGAAACAGTACAACATATCATCTAAGAAAGAATTAGCCTCTAAAAAATGTGATATACTTATGGGAAAAAACAAGGTAGAAAAATTCAAATTAGGCGGCTGATTTCTGAGTAGAGTACATTTTTCTATTTTGATTTATGATGATGATATAATATTCCCATAAGGGTAATTCTAAAAAGAAATTATGACACAAATCTGAAAAAAGTCAACATCTGTTTTAGGTTGACAACTGGAAAGTGGATGGGACATAGTACACTATCAAATAAAAGTATTAAGTGAACTAATCAATGATTCTTTATATTTTCCTGCATATTGAAAAAAGGTCAAATATTATAAATAAAATAACTAGGATACTGCATCAACTACAATATGAGAATATAAATGTAAACATGAGAGAGTAACCTCACATGTTAAAGATCAATGGATGAGTAAGATGTTCACCCCACCCGAAGTGATCCACAGATCCAGTGAGACCCCTATCAAAATCTGAACAGTAGTTGAGGATTTATTTTTTTCTAAAAATTATATACAATCCCATGAGACTCTGATAAAAAACTTTTAAAAAGAGAAAGACAACTGGGGTCCTCATACTTTCTGATTTCAACACCCTTACAAAGCTGGGGTTGGAGCGATGGCTCAGCAGTTAAAAGCACGCACTTCCAGAGGACCTCAGTTCTGTTCTCAGCACCAACATTGGGCAGCTCACAACCTGCAATAACTCAAGATCTGGGGTGGGGGACAATGCCCCTGGCCTCCACAGGCACCCCTACATATATGTACATACCCCCCACAATTAAAAATAATAAAAAATAAATCTTAAAAAATTTCAAAGCTGCTGTCATTAAAAGTTTGAAGTTAGGAATATAGCTCAGTGGGAACATGTTTAGCTTGTATGAGGTCCTAAGGTTAAATTCCCAGAACCACAAAAACAAAATAGAAGTTTGGTACTGCCATAAAGACAGACAAAGGAAACAGAAATCCAGAGAATGAACACAAAATACATGATCTAATGATCTCTGATCAGAGTATCAAGATTATCAATGTGGAATAGGCAGTCTTTAACAGAGAGTCTTGAGATAACTGAACAAATACACATATTATACAAAAGAATAAAGATATGCCAATGGCAATAAGCACATGAAAAAATGTCCAATATCAACAGGCATTATGAAAATACAAATCAAGACCATAATCAGAGCTGGGTGTGGGGGTGCCTGTTTGCAGTCCTAGTACCTGGGAGGCCAAGGGAGAATTTCACATTTGAGGTCAGTTTGGACTACATAGTAAGATCCCTATCTCAAAAAAACCCAAGTCAAACAAGCAAAAACTCCCACAATCATATTTCATACCCATCAGGATGGCTCTCACCAAAGAGAGAGACAGTGACAGTGGCAGCTAATGGAAAAACCAGATTAATGGGACTGAAACGTGTCCCAGTGCTCTGAAAACAGTGCTTCAAAAAGTTAGGTAGTTATATTATCCAGCAATTCCCTGCCTAGGTAGATACCTAAGAAAAAGAAAACCCTACACACAAAAAGTTGCAAACAAATGTTCACAGCAGTATTATTCACAATGGGAAAACAAGAAAACAATCCAAATATTTATCAGCTGATGAGGGAATATTTACAAACATAAAAAGAAACATTGAAGCACGCTACAATATGAATCAACCCTGTGAACTCTGTCCGACAGCAAAAGAACCCAGTCACAAAAGATCACCTTATATAATCCTTTTTGGGGGGAGGCGCTCTTTTTGAAACAGGGTCTCCCTGTAGCCCCAGCTGGCCTGGAACTCACTATGTAGAGCAGGCTAGCCTCAAACTCACAGATTCACCTGCTTCTGCCTCCCAAGAGCTGGGATTAAAGGTGTGCACCACCACGCCCAACCTATATAATCCATTTATAGTTAATGGCCAGATGAAGCAATTTATAGGCAGAAGGCAGGTCAGTTTCAGATGGGAGAGCTGGGGAGAAATGGAAAGTGACTGCTAATGGATGCTCAGTGTTTAACGACTTCAGCTTGCCCTCTCAAAAACACTTCCAGGGTTTATAAAATCATGTAAGAGTCTTTATTTTTTAAAAAATTGCAAAGAAAAAAAAAAGAATTGGAATTAGAAATCAGGAAGGTCTAAAAAGCTCAGCTCTAATTTTTATGTGCAACTATGGGCAAGAATCTGTAGCTGAGGGGCAAAATGGTGACTGCTACAATGAAGAGCTAAATGAATTAGCAATGATAAATGTGAAGCATTCCAAATACTTCATGCACAGAAAAGGTAAAAAGTAATTGACTGTGTCACTTGAAATCTAATAAATATTTGCTAGATTACTGTGGGCAAGTCTTTTAACTTGTGGGTAGGGGTGAGCAGTACTGATGCTGTTCTAGGGACCTCATGCATACATACATACATACATACATACATACATACATACATACATAAATAAGGTTCAACAGGTTCTCACTAGTTGCCTGGGCTCTAAATTCACCATAGTCCAGGCAGGCCTTGAACTTAGGATTCCCCCTTGCCTTGGACTCCCATGTCTCTTCATTTCTGAATTAAGAAGCTCCTATATCACAATATGAAAAATCTCCCATTGCCTTTCATGGTTTTGGGAGGGCCAAAGAGATGAGGCATTATTTATAACTTTGTAAACTCTAAAGTACAAAGTATTTTTCTAAGCATTGATCTTAAGGATGTCAGGAAGATCCTCATTAAATAAAAAATACTGTTCAAAATGTACTCTTGCTAATAGCAGCATCTCCAAATGCAAAGGGTAGGTAGTTACAGAAAGTCTATTATTTGCCATTGGTAAGATGCTTATAATCCATTATAAATCATTAAACAGTTGCCCCAAAGCAGCACTTTCCATTACTGTCCTCAAACAAACTGCCTGACCAGCTACTTACACAAACCTGAACTAAACACAATTTGTTTGCTTGGGATATGGTTTTTATGTAATTAGAGGATGGCAGTAGTCAGCACTGACTATCAGGAGGCCATAGCATCTTTAAATGTGGCTCAGATCTAGGACTTGATAGGCATAACTTCAAAAAGAAAAGTGTTAAGTGGTGCCACAACTTTCAGTTCAGACAGGAGATGGACTGAAATAAACTGTCAGAAAGTTTCCTCAAGGACATAAGTAGGCCTTGAAAGATGGGTAAGATCTGGATAGTCATAGGGAGGAGGGGGCTGGAATTGAGATTTTTTTAATTCTAAGAGAAACTACAGGAAGAAAATTAAAGAAGTGAGAAAGGCTGGTGAGAAAGCAGCCCGAGGGTGGTATACCTGGTGAGCTTTATCCAATCGTGAGATTTTACAGACAACCTAACCCTATTTTAGGATGTGTCTCTCTGCCCCCTAAAATATCTAATTTGGACAAAAAGAACAATACCATCTCCTCTTGCCTTCCCCACCCAACCACACTCAGAATACTACCCCAATCCTTCTGAGAATGCAGGCCTTCACTCACCTCCATGTCATCTTCCTTTTTCCTCTTGTTTACTGACTCACTTCCTTCTTCATCCTCTTCTTCTTCCTCTATGATTCCTTCTACTATAGATTTTGAGCCTTCTGGACTTGTAATTCCTTCACACCTAGAATTTTTTTTTTTTAAAAGTGGTATCAGTCATGCCTTTTCCATCAAAATTATCTTAGACATACTTATGGCCTTTTAACTGTTAACTAAACTTAACGGTGCTCCTGGGAAGATATGAAAATGTGTGTTTCTAGGGCTGTAGAAGGTCTTGACCAATGTGCAGCTATTCATCAAGAGCTAGTTTCCAGTTCTTGTACTAATAAGCACCACAAAAAGGAAGTGATCATTTTCTAAGACATAGTGACATTAGTTTTATTGGTATTTATGACTTATTTTTATTTTATGTGTATCAGTGTTTTGCCTGCATGTATGTAACTGCACTACATGCATGAAATGCCCTTAAGTAAGAAGAGGGCATTGGATCCCCTGGTACTGGAGTTTTGGATGGCTGCTAGCCACCTTGTTGGTGCTGGGGACCAAACCTGGGTCCTCTGCAAAAGCAGCCAGCACTCTTAACTGCTGAGCCATCTTTCTAGCCCCTAATTTATAGGTATTTTTATATAACACTTATAGCAATTCTCTAAAGTTGCCCTGATGAGTGAAGAAAATTGTCATAGTGGGTAAGGCTATGATGCAAACCACGCACAACTTACCCTGAAGCAAAGCTGTTCCCTGCTTATAATAGAACGAGGCTCACAGAGCATGGAAAGAAGTCTTACTTCTTAATCAGCTGATAGAGGTTGGCAATTACAATGACCTCAGCCAGAAAAGCATTCAGATTAGATTATCTGATCCAAGCATTTATTGTTGTTCTTTCTTCTGCAGAGATGGCTAGGTGGTTAAGAGCACTGGCTGCTCTTGTAGAGGACCCAGGTTTGAGACCCAGCACCCACATGGCAGCTGACAACCATCTGTAATTCCAGTTCCAGGGAATCTGATGCCCTCTTCTTACTTCTGAGGACACTGTACACATGTGGTGCACTTACATGCATGCAGGCAAAATATTTATATACATAAAATAAAAATAAATCAAAAAAAGTTTTAATTCATTAAAAAATGATGACTTCATACACACACAAGGCACAAAAGTAGGAGGGAACCTATTGGTAAGAAAGGATTCAGCGAGAAGAGGGGTGATGAGAAAGGGTAACGGGTGAAAATGACAAAAATTCTTCATATATATATGCAATTGTCAGAGAATAAAAAAATTTTTAATTTAAACAATCAATGACAACAAAAAAGGTAACTCTTTACTATGTAATTAGGTAGAAAAAGTACTATTATATGATCAGTGGGTATGATAATTCCTTTCAGAGGAAACTCTATGGAAAAAACATATAGGCAAGTATATTCTAAGTGGATTCTAAGGCCTGGAGGCAGCTAGTGGCAAGGTTTTCTCTGCATGATAGAGATGATTCCTTTCTTGCCTTTGAGGAGAGAACATGACAAGGGAGAACAGAGAATACAGAGAAAAAAGGAGGAAGGAGGGAAACAAATTTCCTTTTCCTTTTCTAGCTTTAAAACAGGGTAAAGTATGTTCTCAAATGTTAAATGAAGGTTATTTTATAAAACTTGAGGTGTTGCAGGGTGTGGTGGTGCATGCCTTTAGTCCCAGCACCCAGGAGACAGAGGCAGGATCTCTGTGAGTTCAAGGCCAGCCTGGTCTACATAGTGAGTTCCAGGACAGCTGGGGCTGCGGGGAGACCCTGTCTCAAAAAGATAAAAAAAAAAAAACCCAAACAAACAAAAAATGAAAAAAAAAAACAAAAACCTTGAGATGTTAAGTTTCACATTAAATTTACAGACACAGTATGATTTTTTGGGGGGCGGGGGAGGGTCTTTTTGAGGTAGGGTTTCCCTGTAGCCCCAGCTGGCCTGGAGCACACTATGTAGATCAGGCTGGCTTTGAATTCACAGAGATCCACCTGCCTCTGCCTCTGCCTCTACCTCCTGAGTGCTGGTTTTATTAAAGGCATGCACCACCATGCCTAGGGACCTGGTATGATTTTAAGAATCATTTAAACAAATGTGTGCATATTTCCAAAGCTCATGAATAAAAAAGCTCAAGGCTGGGGGCTGGACAGATAGCTCACTGAATGTTCTTGCAGAAGACCCGGTTTTGAATCCCAGCACCCACATGGCAGCTAACAACTGTCTATAACTCCAGTTCCAGGGGCTCCGACAACCTCTTCTGTCCTCCACGGGCAATGCATGACATGGGTGCACTTATCTACATGCAGGCAATATATGCATACACATAAAAAATAAAAATAATAAATAAAATAAAAAAAGAAAAGCTCAAGGCAATTTCACCTAGATTACGAGGGGCAGAAAGGCTGCAGCTATCTATGTGAAAACACACTTTCAAGAAGCCTGATGATCTGAGTTCAATCACCAGCACACATGTAAAAATGGAAGGGGAGAACCAACTCCACAGAGTTGTCCCATGACCTCCATATGAACACTATAGAATGTGCATGGCCCATCACACACATAAGGGTTTATTATTTCTTTAAAGAGAAAATATGAGCTGAAATAAAATTTGATAATCACTGACCTATCTGCATAGAAGCTATGTAATGTCCTCGTAAAATGCTTTAACACTGCTCATATTTGTCAGATTTCAAAATATTTAGGTATTGAAAAGTAAACAGTCTCATACCTGTGTCAAACTTTTGTATTCTCTCTGCCTGACATTACTACAGAAGTTGCCTTTGAAGGCATGAAATCCATACCACAGGCCTTAAAGTCAAACACACAGCAGCAGTTTAAAGCTCAACTTTATCCTCTACTGGTTGTGTGGTCTGGAAAAAGTTGTTTATGTCTCAGAATTTCCATTTCCTTACCAATAAAACAATACTAACTACAGCACAAGGATTCACTTGAGAAATTCAGATTGTGGAAAATCCTATATGGCAAACTAGGTTTCCTAGACAAACTATAAGGCAATGGGGCAGAGGTGGGAGAAGGGAGACAAAGTGGAACCTATAGGTTCAGAGACACTTAAGAGAGACATAAGAGACCACTTGATAGAAACCAGAAGCTCCTTGAGACAGATGTTTTGCCCCAGCCCCACTGTAAATAGCTACATCCCTATCTTGGTTCTGATGGAGTGCCATAGCTGCAGAAAAGCCAGACAACCCATTTCTCCTGCCAGGATGTCTCTCTGCTATCCCCACTCCACTGTTGTCAGCTAGCTACATCAGCAGTGAAACAGTTTGTTTTGTTCTGTTCAAGCGAGCAGGTCCAGGAAAAGGGCCCAAGGATACCTTAACTCAGATCCACAACTGTGTGTGCTCTCTTTAGTTCTAGCCCTACAAAACCTGCAACCCCCACCTTTGCACAGCCTACATTTCCTGTGGAGAAGTTGTCACCTTGCTGAATAAGCACTGTTCAGACTGCTGAAAGGTCTGGCTCTGGTCATTTACTTAAATTTTAGTCTTTCTCTGTTATTCTAAATAACACCTCTTATATACCTTATTTTGATTTTAACATTCAATGTACAAATTGAACAACAGGGTGACGAGAGCTAACAATAATGTAGTGCATATTTCAATAATGACCAGAAAAGAAGATTTTGAATGGTTTTACCACCAAGAAATAAATATTCAAGGTGAGAGATACATTAATTACCCTGAATTAATCATTGTATAAAATATATACAATGTTGAAATATTATATTGTATACCATAAGTATATACAATTATCATGTGCAAATCAAAAATAAAATCTAAAAAATTGAGACAGCTATGAATAAAATCTGATTAGATTTTGGTGATATTGTTCATTTTTTAGGTGTGATACTGTCATTGTTATTATGTACAATCTTTTCTTCTTGAGCATACTGAATTCTCACAGAAGGAACTGTATTTGGATGGAATTTGCTTCAAGATATTTTGTGTTTATAGGAAATAAACAGACATACACAGAAATAAAATAGACAACACAAGACTGGCCATAAGTTAAGAAGCACTGAAAACAGGCAATGAACACACTGGGGCTCACCAACTACTACAAAATGCAATGTTTCAGTAATCCACAATCTTAACAAGAGACTGTGTGTTTTAAATGCTTTGCACAGTCCCTGGCAAATAGCAGGCACTTGATAAGGCCAGTATCATTTCTGTCATTCTTGAACTTCTCTGTGGACGGTATTTTCTTAGTTCACCTAACGATACTGGCCATACTAGGATTCATATAGCTCCATCAAGAAAGATAAATTAGGCTAAATAATCTTTTTTTAAATTTATTTGTTTTTATCTTATGTGTATGCATGTATTACCTGCATGCATGTAAGTGCACCCATGTCATGCAATGTCTGCGGAGGACAGAAGAGGTCATTGGATCCCCTGGAACTGGAGTTACGGACAGTTGTTAGCTGCCATGTGGGTGCTGGGATTTGAACCTGGGTCTTCTGCAAGAATAATCAGTGTTCTTAACCGCTAAGCCATCTCTCCAGCCCCAGGCTAAATAATCACCTGAAGAAACTGGTTTTCTCTCCAGAATTTTCATACTTTAATTTCCTAGCAACAGGGTTTGGCATGGAAGCAGTGTGTTGTCAGAGTACTGAGACCACAGTTGCCAACACACTAACACTTCGGTAAATTCCTAATGTTTCCCCACTGCAATGCCCACCTTTTAGCACTGAGAGTTGTGCTAATATAATCCAGTATTATAGACTTTGGGGTTTAGTTTTTAAAAAGAGAGAGAAATGGAAAATATCCGTATGGTTATTATAACAGAACTCACTTGTAAAGTCATCTAAAATAATGAACACATTTACCAATATGATAGAATAAATGTAGGACCAAAAAAAAAGCAATCTGTAATTCTCTAACCATGTTCCATCCTCTTAAAAAAACTCAAAAGATAAAATAAGACCTACTGTTTGACTTGGCCAACCATTGAGACACGGGCAGACTCTAGGTTTCGAATCTGACCACTCTTCACACTAGGAAAGAAGAGGGAGAAAAAAGAGATTATTCAACACTCCTCTTATCACAATACTAGAACCAAAAGAATAATTTTGTGGATTCTGTGGGATCTAACAAAAAGTTGTAGTGACCTGTGCTGATTATGGAGATTACCACTACACTCTACTTGGCTAAAATGACTGTGAGTCAAGCAGTAAAAATTAAGAAAAAAGATTTCAGCCCTTTCAAAGGGTACTGCAAGCCAAGTCTGTATATAAGAAGCACATCAGTGTGGTGGCACACACCTTTAATCCCAGTACTCAGGAAGCAGCAGAGGCAGGCAAATCTCTGTGAGTTCAAGGTCTCTGGTCTACAGAACGTGATCAGGCCATCTGGGGTTACACAGTGAGAGACACTGTTTCAAAAAACCAAAACAAACCAACCAACCATAGCACATCAGAAGGAGAAAGAGACACAAGCATATAACATTAATACAAGGAGTCAAGGTTCAAAGGAAGTGTTTTATTTCAATGAAGAGGCTAAAAAAAGTCTCCAAAAGTTTCTGCCTACAGTGAGAACTGAAAACAAGGAGTTAACTATAAAATAAGAGAGTAGTCAGAGCACTGTAGGCAGATGGCACCCTGTGAAGATGGTACTGTGACTGAGAGTCACCAGGAGGATGGTTCGACGAGAAGAATAGCAATGGAAAGCACAGGAGCACTGGGACAGAACACAGCTGTTGGCAGTGGCCAGCTTCCAGGGCCCTGAATGCTGCTGTGGTCTGAATGGGTCCCTAAAGTTCATGTTCTAGAAACTTAGTTCTCACTGCAACAGCAGAGAGACGGGCCTCTAAGATATGATTAGGCTAGAGGCTCTGCCTTCATATATGGATTAATTTCCTTATCTCAAGACAAGGTTTGCTGGGCTGGAGAGACGACTCAGAGGTTAAGAATGAGCACTGCTCTCGCAAAGGTCCTAAGTTCAGTTCCCAGCACCCATGTTGGGGAATCTAACACCTTCTTCTGGTTTCCACATATACCTCCATGTGATCACACACACACACATCACACACACACACACACACACACACACACACGAATACAAATGTTTTTAAAAGTTTTTAAGTGAGCTTGATCCCCTCTTGTTTTCTCTCACTGGGAGATGTTTTCTGCATTGTGTTATAGCAAGAAGGCCCTTACCAAGTACAAACCAACCTTGGACTTTCCAGCCTCTAAAACAATGAGCCAAATGAACATGTAGTGTTTATGAATTACCCAGTTAATGGTATTCTTTTACAGCAGCAGAAAACAAAGTCACACATCATGCTCTCATCTAAACACTAAACATTAGTAATCTGACTTCATTTAACTTACAAGATCAGATAAGACTGAGTGTATTCTGGGTGTCATAGTCACAGATGTACTATAGAGTTTAGAGTATCTGAATATATTAGTCTTCTAGTATTTGTCTACTAAGTACATTTAAGGACAAAGCAAAATGACTGTATGTCTCATAGGGAACTGGAAACACTGCCTGAAGCAGGCCAGAACACAGCGCTTCAAATTTTTAGCTTAAAAAAAGTCATGCATGGGGCTGGAGAGATGGCTCAGCGGTTAAGAACACTGACTGTTCTTGCAGAAGACCCGGGTTCGAATCCCAGCACCCACATGGCAGCTAACAACTGTCCAAAACTCCAGTTTCAGGGGATCTGATGCTGTCTTCCAGCCTCTGTGGGCACTGCGTGACATGGATGCACTTATACACATACAAGCAATATATTCATACACATAAATAAAAATAATAAAACATTGAAAAAATAGTGAAGACACAACATTTTATCTGTTTTACAGTGAAATAAAAATAGAAGTTAGCACTTCTAAAATCTGTAGCTCTCTCACATAATACTCTTACATATTTCCCATATGGATAGTTGGGCCTAAAATTTTTTTTTTTTTAAGTCATGTAGGGGTTGGAAGGTGGCTCAGCGGTTAAGAGCACTGACTGCTCTTGCAAAGAACCTGGGTTTGAGTCCCAGCACCCACATGGCAGGTAACAACCAACAACCATCTGTAACTCCAGATCCAGGGGATCCAACACCCTATTCTGAACTCTGCAGGCACTGCATGACACCAGTGTACTTACATACATGCAGGCAATACACTCATCTATATAAAATAAAAATAATAAAAATAATTTTTAAAAAGTCATGCAAATTAGGGGTTGGGGAAGCCCAGTGGTAAAGTGCTGCTAGCCTCGCTTGTGCCCAGTCCTGGAAACCTGTCACTATTGAAAAACAACCATGAAAAATGTTAAAAACTATCCCCTCCCCATATTGACATTGTAGCATACTTTAATGAAAAATAAAAAGAATCAAAACTACGACTTCATCTTTTGACCACCAATTATGTTTACAAATGTATCATTAATACATATATGTATATATTTCTAATCATACATTCTGCTTTGATACCTAAGCAGGTAACTATGAAATATTTCTTCTTCAAGGCCAGCTCTGAGTACTGGCTCCCATCCCCTTTTGCTTCTAAACTGAGATTGCGGCCTGCCACTCTTCCCTCTACTGTATCTTTTTTCGGGGAGTCTTTTTGAGACAGGGTCTCCCTGTAGCCCCAGCTGGCCTGGAACTTGCTATGTAGATCAGGCTGGCCTTTGCCTCCCAAGTGCTGGGATTAAAGGCTTGTGCCACCACTCAGGGCCTTGCTGTATCATTTTTTATAAGCACCCTGTCCTGACTTAAGGACATCCCCAAACCACCTTCATCACTTACCTGCTTTTCTATAGAGCAGAACTCCTCAAAGAGCCCATCTTGTTGCATCCATTTTGTTACCTCTCATCCTTTCTCCAGCCTGTATTCTCATCTTATATAGAGTTGTGTGTGTGTGTGTGTGTGTGTGTGTGTGTGTGTGTGTGTGTGTATTCTTGTCCAGTGGGCACATGAACATGTGTGGATACCAGAGATCATCCTTGGGTATCATTCCTCAGGCACTGCCCACCTTATTTTTTGAGGCAGGTTCTCTCAGTGGCCTGGAGCTTGCCAAATAGGCTAGCCTGGTTGGCCCAGAAATCCACTTATCTCCACCTCCCCCAGAGTGGGGATTATAAGCATAAGCCTCCATGCCTGATTTTCTTACATGGGTTCTGGGGACTGAACTTAGGTCCTCAAGTGTGCACAACAAGCACTTTGCCAACTGAGCTGTCTTCCCCTTATATTAGATTTATCCTGCACTTATTTCCTGGGATTTCTTTTCTTGATCTACTTATTTTATGTGTTTGAGTGTACTGCCTGCATGTGTCATGCAGTGCCTGTGGAGGACATAATAGGTCATCAGATCTAGAACTGGAGTTAGGATGGTTGTTAGCCACCATGTGGGTGCTGGGATTTAAACCTGAGTCTTCTGCAAGAACAGTCAGTGCTCTTAACTGCTGAGCCATCTCCAGCCCCTCCTGGGATTTCTTTTGTCCAGTTCATCTCTATCATGCCAAACCCAGTGGTCACCCTTGGGCTTCCTGTTACTTGCTTTCTCAACAGTGTCTGACACAGTTTGTCTTTCCCTCTTTCTATAGATGTGCTATATTGTCCTGGTTTTCCTTCTACCTCATCAAGTGTGTCTTTTCAAGTTCTTTTGTTCAATTTTCCCCTTCTTTCCAAGCTTTAAATACTGGGATGTATCCCAAGGATAAACTCTTGGATCGTAAAAACAAACAAACAAACAAACAACAAAAAAAAAACATTGCGCAAATTGCCAAGCTGAGAAAGGCAAAGACCAAAGAACTCAACCACCAAACTGGGTTAAATGTACACTGCTGAGTTTTCTATACATAAATATAATTTAAAAATTGCTCTTCAAAAAAAATAAACATCCAATCTCTCAGTGACTGCATTCAACCTTTCAGTTTTAAATCTTATCTATGTGATGACTAGTCTCTCTCTAGCTCAGCATCTTCTAAATAATACTAATATTTACAACTGCCCGATTAACATTTCCAGTTAGATGTGTAGTATGCATTTCAGATTATATAAACAACTTACTCTCTGCCCCATTTGCTACCAAATGACTTCTTTCTGCCTCTACTGTTCACCCAATTAGGTTAAAAACCCTTCAATTCCCTCCCTCCCTACCTTCGTCTTTCTCCTAAACTACAAACCACAGGCAAGTCTTATCAGTTCTATTTTCAAAATATACATTTAACCAGCTTGTTTCCTCTGTGGCCACAATTATTTTCCTATAGAATCATAAGTCTCCTAATCAATTTCATGCTCCCATTATCACCCTGCTCCCCACTCTCTCTTTTTTTATTTTCTCAGAGCAGCCAGAGTGGTATCAGGGTAGAATCAGGATATAAATCAGGGTAGATTCAGAGTAGAATCAGGCTATAAATCCCTATGTGTCTGTCTTCAAAGCCTAGCTATGTATGCATGTATGTATGCATGTAGATAGGCAGGTAGGTAGAAAGGTAGGTAATTTGGACTTACTATGCAGGTCAGACTGGCTGCAAGCTAGTGACCTCTGTGCCTCAGCCTTCCAAGTGCTGTCAGGCAGGCACCACCATGTAAGGCAAAGCCCAGTTCTTAATGACTATACCCTTTAGTTTTTCATCAGGAAAACTAGGAGAGTAGAAATAGTAATTTGTTGGCTTTATACTTTAACATTTTTTGGCCTCTTAACCTAGAGTGGCCAAAGTAGTCATGAATCATATATAATCTTGACATACATACACATACATACATACATACATACATACATACATACATATATACATATCCTGGAGAGTATAAAACAAAATCATTAAATACACCATTTTGTTTTTTCTGATTCTTGGGCTCAGAAAGTAGTTTCTAAAATTCAGCGACACACACAGAACCAAGAACATTCACGCATTCAACATATAGAACAGTCACCCTATCCTGCAGCTGACACTAGAATCAAGACAAGGCCTATTGTGAGCCCTCAGGTGACCTGGGCACCTTCTTTTATAACCCTTGTACTTCTTTCTTTTTTAGTTTACTTACCTCTTTGTATCTTTAGAGTCTGTTTGTTTTTTAAAAATACTTATTTTTTACGTTATGTGTATGAGTATATTGCCTGCACCTGTGTTGCTGTATGCAGACCCCCTGGAACTGGAGTTAAGGATGGTTTTTAGCCTCCATGTGGATGCTGGGAATTGAATCCAGGTCCTCTGCAAGAGTAGCCAGTGCTCTTAAAAACTGAGCCATCTCTCCAGCCCCTTGGATTGATTTTTTTGAGACAGGGTCTCACTATGTAGCCCTGGCTGGCCTCGAACTCAAGAGACCTGCCTACCTCTGCCTCCTGAGTGCTAGGATTAAAGGTGTGCACCACCATGCTCAGCCTTGTTTTTGATGACAGAAACTAAGCTTAATTCATTCCCATTTCTTTCCTCACATGTTAAGACAAAATGCTTATTGGCTGAATTAACTTTTAAAGTTTGGAAAAAGGACAAATTTTAGATAACTGAAATACACCCAGAAGATTTTTTTTAACTGGTTATCTCTGGGGAAGAAGGCAGGGGACCTGAGGTATATGCAGAGCTGACAGCAGTCGCTTTCTCAGTGCCATGGCTGTCCAGGACAGACCTTTGGTATTTCTGAGAAAGGAGGAATTCTGTGTGTGGTAGACTCCATCTCATCAAACACAAACATTCTAGTTCTGGGCCCTCTCTCCCAGAAAACCTTCCAAGGACACATCTATGAGGTTTTAGTTTTTCAACTGATATCTCTGATCCAATTAACAGACATTCTACCACTAGGGCAGCCCACAATATACTGTATGATATCTACAAGTGCAAAAGAAGAAGCTTCTACCTTTATGATGCAGGAAGTATATTAAGAGAGAAGTTAGTAGCTAGGCATTGTGGTGCATACCTTTAATCCCAGCGCTCAGGAGGCAGAGGCATGTCAATCTCTGTGAGATCAAGGCCAATTTGGTCTACATAGTGAGTTCTAAGCCAGCTGGGGTTATAGGGAGACCCTGTCTCAAAGACCAAAAATACTCAGCCAACCAACCAAACAACAAAAAAGAGAGACATTAGTGAAAATTAGCAACATGAACAAATTTCTCAACAAAGGACTGGGAATCTTTAGAGGCAAAAGGTACACAATAAAAGTCACTAGCAATTTTTGCTGACAGTATTCTGGTAATGTGAAAATATTCAGGAAAGCATTCTGGAGACAGGACTGGAGATAAATTTTGAAGAAAAGATTGAAGGATGCTGAAAATATTTTATACTGAGAGTATCCTCCTGTGGGGAGGAAAAGTGTTTCATTGATCTTTGAAATTAAGTTTCATACATATTAAAATTATTGGTTGGATTAATGAATACAGATTTTAGGGAACAGGGCTTCCATCTACCCTATTTCTCCATTTTTATCTGAAATATAGAAAGTGAATCTAGAACCATGGAACATCAGAAGTGGAAAGCCTTAGAGACTGCCTGGTCCAAGTTCTCACTTTAAGAGCAAAATCAGCTAGACAGATGATGACCTGCAATTACCGATACCCTAGGAGATACAATATTGGAAAGGTTCACACTTTAGAGAATTGAGCCAATTATCAACCATTTTTTAAAAAATATTCTGCTTTAAAATATTTCCTTACATACTTTACAAAAAAGGTTTAGAACATGATCTTCTATTTCTTTGATCTTGGCATCTGAGGTGACAAAATAGAAAAGCTACAGTCTTTAATAGTAAAATAGCATAGACTGGTGGGTTACCTCCACTCAATAGCATTCTCCAGAGACTTGAAGGTTTTAGGACGACCACGCAAGAAATTCTGCATGCTATTGAGAGCATCCATGGCTGTACCTAGATAATAAACAAAAATTTTAACGACATCACTAAACATGTTCTTTCTGTTGACTATTCTTTATTTTAGACTAGCATACAAAGCACTGGGTTTCATCATACATATGTGTCACTGTATGTTGCTCTCAACTGTTCCCTCCCCTACTACCCTCTTCATGCTCCATCCCTTCAACTGGTTCTCTTTCTTCCCCCAATTAATTTCCAGTAACTGGGGGCACACCCCAGAAGTATAGTCTGTTCCCAGGCTCCCCTTTGTCTTTGTGCTTCTCAATGCTATGAGACAAGCAGAGTTTTGTTCCTCCACATGATCCTACCAGAATTTTCTACCTCACTACATCCTAAAAGCAATGGAGCAGCCAACTATGGACCAAAACCTCTGATACCGTGAGCCGAAAGAAATCTTTGTTCCTTTAAATCTCTTATCTCAAGTATTATGCCACAGTTGCAAAAACTGAGCAATATACGAAGTAAACTCTCTATATATCTACCCCCTGATGACAACAGAATTCAGTGATGCTTGGGGAAGAATAAAGTTTTAGAAAATTCCAAAGATTAACATCATAACCAGTTTCTGATATGGCTCTCAATAACTGTGGCCTCCTGGTACCCACTCCCTGTGTAGTACCCCCACTATGGCTAGCTTGTACAAGCAGCAACAGAACCTCTCAGGAAAAATGACTCTATAATTTTACAAAGACACAGGGACATACTTCAAGATGAATGAAACTGACGATAAATCAATACATGGTAATAATGTATCATGGTTGTCTCCTATAAATTATTGAATCTGGTGTGGTCAGTACTAAGAAAACTTACCTTCCACGACATCAATCATACACAGGCCCAAGAGGCTTGGCACCAGGTTAGACGATGCTGTGTGCACTGCAATGGCACCGCCCATGCTATGCCCAATCAGCATAATTGGAGGAGGGAGGTCCCCATACATGGCTTCAACCACATTGCCGACATCTCTGGAGAGAAAAGGGGTAATGTGAAGATGCTATAGGAGGAAACTAAAAATGGTCTTCTTTCCCAGTTCCTTCTTTGGGTCTATTAACTAATAGCTCTGGAAATGTTAAAGATCTATAAGGCCATCTTACAAACATACCTACATAAACCTTACATGGTCCCTGGTATCTATGCTGATAGACACCTAATTCTCCTGGGAAATAGCAGGTTATGGACTAAGAACCCCACATTTCTGATCTTCCATTGCATCATAAGCTTATCATTCTACATAGTTAGTACAACTGCATAAACAGTATCTTTAATTTTTTTCTTTTAATTTTTCTAAATTTAATAACCACATGATTAGAAGAAGCATTTCATTACAGCTTTAACATATTCAGTATCACATTCCAGAGCAAGAGTACATCTCTTTCAAAAGTGGCTGTAAATTTTTACGTTCACAGTTGAATTAATACAGTTATATACCTTTAACTTTTAACCTAAGCTTGACATTCTGGAGAAAATATTTATTTGAAACTTTGGTTTTCTCATTTATAAGGCAATGAAGTTTGCAGTCACAAGATGAGTATCAGGACTCAGTTTATTTTTTAAATATTTATTTATTTAATATGTATGTGTGTGCATATGCACATGCCACAGTACATGTGTGGAGGACAATTTGTGGGAGGGAGTAGGTTCTTTCCTTCCAACATGTGGGCTCTGGGGATTGAACTTAGGTCATCAGGCTTGGTGGCAAGCACCCTAATCTCCTGAGCCATCTCAACAACCTCTCAGTTTATTTTTAACTATGTAGTCTTAGATTCATTAACTAGTAGACATTGAATTTCAACATCAATAATGTGAAGTTAAGAATCACCTACTGCTCTTCATTGTTTTGAGATCTGTGTGAATGTGAAACTATTTTTAGACAGCTAAATTGTTGTTAGTTAAAATGAAGTCTCAGCTCAAAAAAAAATTTCCAAGTGTCTTCACACCAGCATTACTCCTATACCAACCACAAAATACTCTGTGAAAGACAAAATGATAAGAAGGATGGTTTGAATGTCTCTCTCAAATTCATTTATTAATTATCAAGTGTTAATATTTGTAGTTTTACATGTATTATCTGTTGGAAAAACAAACATTTTTGAAAGTTAAGGATCATGATCTGAGAAAGAAGATGGATGCTCAGAGCTCATTTTTAACAGATTTGTTCTAGTTAATAGTATTTGGAGGTAGAACTTATGAAGGTGATTGGCTCAAAAGGGATCTTGCCTTGTGAATGGACTAACCCATTTACAGATTAACGAGCCATCATGGGAGCTGCTTGTTATGAAGGACAGCTCTCTCTGGCTTATAGCTGTCTTATCATGTGAAATCCTCCATCATGTTATGATCCAAGACAAGCACTGTGCTCTTGTCTAGACTTCCCAGGCTCTAGAACAAGGAGTTAAAATAAAGCACTGCCCTTTATAAATCACCCAAGCTTATGGCATTTGGTGATACATAAACAGAACACAAGTGCCTATCACATGCTGTGAACTTTCTATAACACTGTCTAATGCAATCTTTCAGCAGTAACCTTGTCTGAAAGGATCTTTATTACTATTCTTTTTAAAAATTTTATTTATTTTTACTTTAAGTATATGAGTGTTTTACCTGCATGTATGTAAGTACACCACATATATGCAATGCCTGCAGAGTTGTTGGCCACCATGTAGGTGCTGGAAACTGAATTCAGGTCCTCTGCAAGAGTAATCAGTGCTCTTAATCACTGAGCCATCTGCAAGGACCTCGGTCTGGTTCCTAGTACCCACATGGTGGCTAACAGCCATTTGTAACCTTAGTTCCAGGGGATCTGATGTCCTCTTCTGGCCTCTACAAGCATTGCACACACAGGTATACTTAACTTACGTGTAAATAAAACACTTATATGCATAAAATATTTTTTAAAAAGAATACAAATGCCAAAATCCTACTGCTAAATGTACTACTTCAGTAGGTCTGGGATAGGCCCAAAGCATCTGCATTTTAAACAAGTTCTCAGATGATTCTGATGAGTGAACAAGACTGAGTGCTACTGTATATGTGAAACTCAACTCTGGAGACCCAGTGTATAATTAGCTATTCTTTAATACCCCGTTTTTACCTTTCTATGACACTGGACAAAAAATGCAGGCATGTTATCTTCATGTGCTTCAAGGCTTCTTGCATTCAGCTACTTTTCTAAACATGTGTCTATGACATATATCCACATTCCATTTAATCCCACCAACATAGGAAAACATTTCAAAAATCCTCAACAAACTAAACAATTTTCAAGTGTTTATGTGATGACCATCAGACCAGATACATCAAGAAAGATGGAGGTGTCTTTCAAGACTAAACAGTAACAACAACCCAAAAGTAGAGAAGAGAGAACAGAAGTAAAATGTTCCTGCTAATGATTGTCCAACAATCACCCATAGTGTGGCAGCACAGTCATGCTACTGTTCACAGTGGTGATGAGTCAGGCAATCCATCAGCAGGGTTTGGCTCCTTACTTTGCCATTGTTTCTGCTGACAGGTCTTCAGAATTCTTGACTTTTGTTTCTCCTGAAAAGAAAAATACTTTTAAAAAATTCTTAAGGACAATGTCCTAGTTTGTTTCTTCATTGCTGTGACAAAACACTCTGACCACTACCACGTGGGGAGGAAAGGGTTTATTTATCTTACATCTCCTGGGTCACAGTTCATCAAGGAGCCCAAGGTAGGAACTCGGGGCAGGAACCTGGAGCACAGGGCATGGAGGAACACTGTTTATTGGCTTGCTTCCCTGGCCCCTGCTCAGCCTGTTCTCTTATGCAACACAGGCCCACCTGCCCAGGGGTGGCACCACCCACAGTGGGCTGGGCCCTCCCACATCACTCAACAATCAAGAAGGTACCCCATGAACATGGCCACAGGCCAGTCCAATCAAAGCAATTCCCCAACTGAGGCTCCCTCAACCCAGATGTATCAAGTTGACACTAAAGCTATCCAGCACAGACAGGAATTATAAAAGCAAGAGTGGATGAAATGGGTACTTTATGCTTTCCAGATTCAACAAGGACTTTCTATGTTCCAGACAAATCTTTATAGTTAGTTACTCTAAAAAGGATTAATTATAGTAGACTACCTACACACTAGGATTCCTCCCAAAGTATTCAGATAGAGTACACTGGTTATTTTATGACAATAAAATTTATAATGTTTAGGTTTATAACAAGGGGCTGAGTGACTACAATAGTGGTTATGGCTAATGAGGAATTCACTCACCATGACTTCGAAGATCCAGAGCCACAATCCTACACTGAACTCTACTAATAATTGCTGCCTATGAGGAAAAGAACAGAGTAGTTAGGTATGTGTTTAGTCCAGTTACCAATGACTTTGTTAAATGAACTGCAATCATAATTCAAGGTACCCAAGAAAACCAAAAGTAAACTGCCTTTCTAAAAGACTGTTTTTAAGTAAAATAAAAGAACAATAATTATTTGCTTTTTTAAAACACATATTGTGTTCTATCCCATCTTCAAAATAAATTTTCTCTACCCAAATCCCTCCTTAAACCTTAATTTGTCCTAGCCTGTCTCCAATACTGTACAAAATGAGCATGTCGATGCAAAGGCCCACAGCTTTCATCCATATTTCTTGCATTGCTTTTCCTTAGAGAATGAATTTCCTAAGATCATGAGCCAGTTTATAAAACTATCTCCGCTTAGGACATCACACAAACATGATATTTGAATCATTAAATTACTCTAAAATCAGAATAAATCATGCAATCTACTAGATTCACCTATGATAGATCTATCTATCTATCTATCATCTATCTATCATCTATCTATCTATCTAACTATCTATCTATCTATCTATCTATCTATCTATCTATCTATCTATTCCAGTTAAATAAAAACTATAGAAAATACTGTCATGAGAGAGATACAATTTTAGAGGTTTAGAGAAACCTGAAATAGGCCAGGCCTGGTGGCACATGCCTTTAATCCCAGCACTGAAGAGGCAGAGGCAGGTGGATCTCTGTGAGACTGAGGCCAGCCTGGTCACAGAGCAAGTTCCAGGCCAGATGGGGCTATAGGGAGATCTTATCTCAAAAAACAAAAACAAAAATCAACAACCCGAAAAACCTCTTCGTCCTCAAGTAAACAGATGTTCTGACAATCATACATTATAATTAGTGCTAGAATAAAAGAACAACTGTCTAATCTAACCCTCACATTTTACAAACAAGAAAACTTGAGACCAAGTGAAAGGGAATTATTTGTCTTTGGTCATATACCAAGTAAGTAGTAAAACTCAAACTAGCATTATGGTAAGTTACCAATGTACCAATTAGCATATATCAGATTAAGAAGTCAGAATTTTAAGTTACATTTTAAAAATCTTTCTACTTCTAGTGCTCCAACTAAAGACTTTAAAATATTTTATTATTTCTATTTTATGTGTATTAGTATATTGCCTATATGTGTGTAAGTATACTCATGTTGTGCAGTGTCTGCAGAAGTCAAAAGAAGGCAATGAATTTCCCTGGAACTGAAGTTGCGGACAGTTGTTAACCGCAATATGGGTGCTGGGACTCAAACCTGTGTTCTCTGCAAAAGCAGCCAGTACTCTTAAACACTGAGCCATCTCTCTATCCCCAAGACTACCTCTTTGAAGGCAACAATGCCTGAAATTCTACTATATTGTGGAAGATATCTGTTAATTTATAGGAGTTATTTAATGCATTTTGGTGGTAGTAAAACCTAAGACCAAAACAAATGCATAGTTAGGATATAAAGTTAATGGATAAAACTGTGTCAAATTTAAAAAAGAACTATGTTTAGAAGAAGTTAAAGATACATTTTAAGTCAGTAATGATCAATTTCAGCCTTCAACTTAAAAGCAATGATCTATAATCATTATGTGCCCATCAGTACATATGGACAAGAATATTAAAAACAAGGGGCTGAGGAGATGTCTCAGCAGTTGAGAGCACTGACTGCTCTTGCAGAAGACGGGGGTCCAGTTCCCAGCACTCCTGTAGTGGCTAACAACCGTCTGTAACTGCAGTTCCAGGGGATCCAGCTCCCTCTTCTGACCTCTGTTGACATTGCATAACATGGCAGTAGACATAAAAGTAATAAATAAAACATAAAAAAGGTTATTAAAAAACAAGTTTTCATTTTATTTACATTATCTAGATGGCATCTAAAAACTACCACAAATGAGTAATGCGGTTATAGTAATGAAAAAGATAATGTCCTTGCTCTCACAATGTTTATATTCTTGTATGACAGAAAAAGATGAGAAAGAAATAAATTAGTGCAAATTAATTCAGAAAGTAACACACATTTACAGATAGTGTCAAAGTATGTCTATGACAGTGACTTCTGATCTTGTCTCATAGTAGTACAGCTTTGTTATTTATGAAATAAGTGACAAGAAGCAGGTAAGAACTAGACATCTGTTGTATCAGCAAGGATAGCAAAAACAGCCAATATTTATTTATTAAATCTTATGGGGCACAACTCGCCAGTCTAAGTGCTTCAATGAGTTATCTTTCTTCTCACAACTCTTTAGACACAATTTTCATCCTTTTACAGGTGATGACAAAGAGCTGAGTATCTCCTGAGGGCCAATAATTGTAGAGCCAAGGTCAAATCCAAGAAGTCTAGTCCTAATGGTCTTCAACCTTGCCTGCCTAATGCAAGTGCCAAAGGAGCTCTGTGGACCACAAAAGAACAATATGACCATCAGAGATTCTGATTTTAGTGAACTACAGGAGTGGTCAAGTTTATCTCTATTTACTTCTGGAGCTTCCCAGGTGATTCTAAGATATAGAGAATTAGAGATAAGATTGGAAAAAAATATCCAGGTAGAGTCAGGCACAGTGGTACACCTGTAATCTCAGCACTTGGAAGGCTCTGGCAGGAGGAACTAGAGTACAAGCTCAGCCTGAGCTATAGGCAAGACCCTGTCTCCAAAGTGTGTGTGTTGAGAAGGGGATCCAGATCACTCTGATCCCACCAAATTAGACCATTTCAGCCTCTTTGAGAAGTAGGCTGAGAAAATATTAGCACAATATTTGTAGCTGGCAAAACAGGTTCTGAAGAATATGTCAAGTATTGATGAAGATGTGGAGAAATAACCACCCTCACAAACATGTAATATATTCAGACCTAGTAATATTTTGTTGAGAATCAGACATTTGTGTTTTGGTGCTGTCACTGGCTATGTGATTGCTCTAAATTTCAATATCCTCATCTGTCTAAACTTGAAAAGATTACAAAAAAGATAAATTGGGACTATGTACGTAGGCAACTCAGTCTGGTGCCTGCACAAAGTAAATGATTATGTCTTACAGTTGAAGGCAAATAGTATGAGAGCTAAGTCTTTCCTTTTTTCAATTCCTTCAGCTGTTCCTGAAATGTGACTGTTTCAAGTACTCTTAACTACCCAACTGGCTCTCCTCAAACACTTTCTGGCTTATCAATCTTAGTTTAATTTGTAATATGGAACTGAATGCAACCTTTTCTCTTCGGAAAATAATTTCTACTAAAAGCAAAAACAATTATTAAATGAAAGCAATAAAAAAAAATACAACTAGGGGCTAGTCTAGTCAGTAAAATGCTTGCTGAACAAGCACAAGGACCCAAGTTTGAGGCCCAGAACTCACAAAGAAAGCTAGGTGTAATGGTTTGCATTTGGAATCCTGACCATGAGGAAGCAGAGACAGGAGGATAACTGGGCTCACTGGTTAGCAAGTCTAGACTAATCGATGAGGCCCAGGTTCCAGTAAAAGGCCCTGTTTCCAAAAACAAGGTGGATGGCTCCCAAGGAACAATTCCCAAAGGTTGACTTCTGGCCTCCACACACACATGTACATATATAACCGCACACCTGTACACACATGAATACATACACATACTCACATAAAATGTACAACTGAAAACCTAGAAAATAAAAACACTGAGGAAAAATCACTCGTAAGACAGAAAGGCACTGGCATAGCAGAAGGACAAACACAATCAGAGAAGAGATGAACACTGGTCCACATAATGCCAGATCATGAGACTGCCTTAATTCACTCCTTCATGCCCTCTATTCCACTGCCCAGGAGAATCATTATGGTGCAAATATTCTGCCTCACAGATACGTCCAGTTCCTCTAACCACTTACCACTGATCATGTCTCTCATGCTTATAAGGTGCTTGGGTCTATTTTTTCTAGTTACTGTTCACTTTTTAACTGCTTTCTGTATCCATAGGTATGTTCTAAGGTTTGAGGAACTCTGACCTTTAGAGTCAAGTCCCTTGCTAGATTTTTTTTTTTTTTTTTTTTTTTTTTTTTTTTTTTTTTTTTTTTTTTATCTTTTTTGAGACAGGATCTCCCTGTAGCCCCAGCTGTCCTGGAACTCACTAACTTTTACACAGCCATTTTTTATTTGAACACTGAAATGATTAATTTTAGATAAAAGCTTTTCCTCAATTTAGATCCTAAATGTGCAATTTCTTGGTAAATATTTTGAGGATTCAACTAGCACAAAAAAGCTCTATTGATCTATAACACCAAAGACGTTTGAAAGTATCTAGTGTTTTTCCAAATAGAAAGATTTTTCTGGAATATATTATTTGACAGATAAAAACCATGCTTCCAATGAATCACACTAATGAAAATGAAACTTCCCACATCTGTGCTCTTCATCGCTATCCCTTTATGTCTTGTGGCCATGTCTCCTAGACTTTGTGATATTTTCTAATCATGTTAAACAACTTCTTTATCAGTCATATAAAAATGATGTATTTAATAAATACTTTATACAATTACACAGTTTTCTGCTTTTTAAAAAAGATTTATTTTTATTTTATGAGTGTTTTGCCTGCATACATGTATGTGCACCATGTGTGCAGAATGCCTGTGGAGAACAGAAGAGGGCATTGGACCCTCTGGAACTAGGGTTACAGGTGATTGGTAACTGCCATGTGGCTGCTGAGAACCGAATCTGGGTCCTCTGCAACAGTAGCCAGTGCTTTTAACTGCTGAGTCGTCTCTCCAGCCCTAGTTTTCTGCTTTAAAAAAAAAAATTGTTTTACTAAATTTTTGCAAAGCTGATACAATATATTGATCATATTTAGATCCCCTCCCCATCTGTAACCCTTTTAATGCTCCCGTTCAATTTCATGTACTTTGTCATATATATTAAGGTCTACTGAGTCAAATTTGTGTTTTCTGTTTTCTTAACAGAATACAGCAATCAAAATTTAACCTCTTCTTAATTGTTTGAAATAGCACCAACTCCAGGACAGGCTGTATGTGCTAGGCGTATCAGAATAAGGCAGTTTCTGATCAAGGCTGTCATGATCTAACTTACTGATCATATTGCTCATCTCTGCACTACTACATTACAACATGCACATTTTGCTGCTACTTACTCATGCACAAAACATTCCTTGAGTACACATCAATATAAATAAGCTATAGCCTTTGCTCAAAAAAAGCCAGATGTGCTCTATAAGGCACATACTGGATTTAGAAGACAGTATAACAAGGAATATAATACATGTTTCTTAGCTTGGATATGGTTTAAACACTCCCTCCCCAAACTTCAGATGTCAAAATTTAATCTCTATAGTGAAGAATTAAGAGGATAAAATAGTCTGACTGTGGTGTTTAGAGGCATGTCCTTTAAACAATGATCTGGATCAGATAACATCATAAAGGAGGAGACTGCATAACTGAATCATGGTAGCCTGCTTTACTTATTTACTTGGAGAGATGGGGTCTCTTTGGAGAATAGGAGATAGGGAGTTCAGGCTGGCCTTAAACTTATGATCCTCCTGCCTCAGGCTCCTGACTGCTGAGATTACATGTACACACCACTACACCTGGCATTTTCATGGCATATGACGCTATGCCACCTTAGACTCTTATCAGTCAGAAGGCCATCAATAGATGGGGCCCTCTATCCTGAATCTTAAAACCTAGAAGCCAAAATAAACCTTTCTCATAACTCATCCCATCTGTGGTACTGTGTTATTGGCCACAACAATGAAAGAAAATTGACACATCAATAATTTTTATATTGATTACCTGTTGAAATGATAGATTAGATACAATGGGCAAAACAAAATGTTTTTAATTACATTCGTTTATTTATCTAATGTGTGTGGGTACTCAGATGTCATGTGCACATGTGGAGAAGTGGAGGCAGGAGTTGGTTCTTCCATCATATGGGATCCAGGGATCAAACTCTGGTCATCAGGCTTGGTAACAAGAACCTTTACCCACTAAGCCATCTCACCAGCCCCAAACAAAATGTGCTTAAAAATAATTTCACTGTGGACACTATGGACCGGGCATGGTGGTGCACACCTTTAATCCAGGCACACAGGAGGCAGAGGCAGGCAGGTATCAGTGAAACTGAGGTCAGCCCAGTCTACATAGTGAGTTCCAGGCTAGTGGGGGCTACAGGGAGACCCTGTCTCAAAAAACCAAAATAATAATAACAACAATAATTTTACCTATGTTTTAAGCTGTTTAATATCTCTACTAGAAAATTAAAACCACCCATGTGCCTTATATTAGGTTTCTAATTGGCAGCACTGATCTAGAACACAAAAGAGCTTGGTGCTGGTAGGCAAATCATATAGCATACCCTATAGTAAGGAAAGAAATAACAAACCTAAGCCAAATTTCACCCCCCACCCTTGCAGTGCTGAGGATTTAACACTGCCAGGTTCAAGGTGAAATGTGCAGGGCTGTGATTCACGGCCATTTGTTTCGGGTATCTGGTGCTGCATTCACTTGCTCCCATTTTCTGTCCTTCAGCCTCTCTAGTGGTAAACAGAGAAGTGTGTATATTTGCACACACAAGAAGAGATCACTTCATTTAGACAAAGGTGCTGCTAGTATCTTCCTTAGACATCTTTCTCCTTGTGCATGGACTATCTTAATCTTGAGTCAAAGACATCAGCAAGACTCACAAACTGCAGAATTCATCTTAGCATATACTCCTTAGGGCAGACCAGAGGACCACCAGTCGAGAATTGTTTATTTCCTAGGAACTCACAAGCGCAAAAAATGAAATAAAACAAAATAAAGCATCGCTTAAAAAAGAAGGCAGTCAACATTCCAGTATGCGTGGGAGAGGGACTCATGAGGCTCCACCCCTAGCTGAGAAGCTACTGGCAGCCCATGGGAGCCATTTTTTTTTCCAAGAGCATGGCCACTAGGAGGCTGCTCTTGCACCCATGGATGACTCACATCCATGCACATGCAAGCAGCACTAGGTGGACTCGGTGGGTTATTTAAAAAAAAAAAAGACATGAAGGTGGGAGGAGACAGTCCTGGGGGACTTGAGGGAATAGGAGGAAGAATACAGGTTGAGTATGAGCAAGATATAGCGTATTCATATATGAAATATATGAATATTTAAATAATTAAAAATATTCAAAAAAGAGAAAAAAATATTATAGGAGTAACCAACCACTCTTTAATTGGATTTAAGGTCTGCATCCTAGTATGGAGCCCATACCTGACATTGTATCAGGCTTAGGAACCTGAGGCTAGACAGGTCACTCATAGGACATAGGGGAGAGCCTAATAGTAGTTTTCTCCTAAATAGTTATCATATTAAACTGACTCTTAATGACTTATTGTCATACCCATAGAGTAATGCCATCTCCTAACTTTCACCAGAGAAGTTTCCTTACACAACAGATGGTGATTGACACAGGAACCCACAGCTGGTCAATATGCAGACAAGAAGAGGCTACAGAGTGCTTATCCCTGAAGAGGACACCTATATCAAACAATGCTCCCAAGGCTCAGAGATCATTATGAAAGAGGGGGCAGAAGATCGTAAGAGCCAGAGGTGGTGGGTGAACACAAGGAAATAAGAGTTTTCCAGATAGCTGGTCAGTTTCTAATATGAATTCACATCAATGGTGACAGCATGCACAAGTCCCAGGCAATCTCAAACCAGAAAAAAACCCAGCAAAGACATGAGGAAATAAGAAGCTCCAACCCCACCTAAGAAAATTGTGGTAACAGATGACTGCTGAGAGGGGCAGAGACAGTCTCTTTCAAGAATGGGACTCTTGGTAGGTTAACCAGCTCCAATGGATGTACTCATACTGAAGGACATTTGGAGACACAAATTATCTATAGGCGTGTGTGTGTGTGTGTGTGTGTGTGTGTGTGTGTGTGTAATAGAGTACATTAAATTGGGCAGGGGGCAATATGGGAAGGTGATCTAAATACCATCAAATTATACTGTATTAAAATCACAAAGATTCAATAAAAATGTTAAAAAAAATAAAGAAATATTTTCCAAATAGTTCTGAGATATCTCCATGTAAAAGTACCATGGAGTCTCTGAAGAAGACAAAGTAGAAGACGTATTCTAAGGCACCTGAATATTATCTATTCCTCTATTATTTAAATTACCGAGATACAGACCTCCTACTTTTGAGAAGTCACAATTCCATTCCCCTCATCCCAATGCACATATATACAAAATTTTATGAACTATTAGAAGGCACTAAGACCCACCTCAGTTAAGAGCCTCTGGCTTAAAGAACAGGGCATACCAGGGCAAGATTTGCAATCTACTCCATCCCTAACAGTCTTACATTAAGCAACAAATGAGTGTGGAGAATTAGCTAGTCAAAGCATTTGGAAAAGAGTGATTATACCCCATTACCTTCTACTACCAACAACTTACCGTGAACACAGCCCAGGAAAGGGCAGAATGGCCTCCTCCATGCAGAAGGAGCAGGACCGGACCCTCGGAACCACTCTTGTAAACTCGAAAAGTGTATGAATAGTTAAAGATGATACATTTAAGTTTTTTTCTTAAGGTTTTGATTAGTTATAACAATACTGATTTCAAAAAAATCCAGGCAGCAACAAGCTATATACAAAACTGTAAATTTTCATAGAAACTTAGATGTTTCTGAGACATCAAGGCTGTTTTGAAGTCTCCTGCCAGAATGTCCTTTAAAAAAAAAAATGAAAAAAATACTTCTTTGGTTTCCAAAAACTAAAACAGTTCAACTTCCTTGGCTCATAGAACTTGAAACTGGATCCCCAGGATATATATTACATTCAGGAATTTAATCCTTAATCCCTTCCCAGGTGTTAGACAATTATAGCCAAGACACATACTGAAAAGGGCCTGAAGAATGTTAGTGGTAATACTCCATGCTATATATAAAGAGGTAGGAAATAAGCGGAAAGCAGCAAGCACAAAGGACACTGCAGCAGCTGCAGGTCTAGCAGGCAGCAGCACACGCTTACTAAGGAGAAGCAATCACGTAGAGGATATATCCTTGCCAGTCTCATTCTCTACTTCCACGTCTTCCATGGACTCAAAGTACTGACTCCAAGGAACAGGAGAAAAGTCCCGTTTCCTTCCAGGGCTAAGGGGAGAAAAAAAGACAGGGAGAGACATTTCAAGTAAAAAACAATTACGCACAAGAAGATATCTTGGCCAACAGATGCTAAATGTATATCTCAAAAGAAAACAGCGAAGTATTTTCTCATAATGACATAAGAAATTCATAATGCACCACAAAAATATATTCAAATAAGTCCAAACATTGATTTAAAATTGTATACAATTAGCTCATTAATGTAGTTGCTCACAAATAAATTCTGATGATATGTGCATATCACAAAATCTATTTATTTCTCATTGAACTTGGTATGTGGCCCATTCCTCTCCTTGTTCACTCTTATAATTATTCTTAGTCACTATTATTTTTCACATCTTTCATGTATTATCTTGCTATATCTCAATCAGCCAAAACACAACCTTCACGGAAGGCAAACTGATGAGGGCAGTATCTTAAACTTCTGGGAATGTATCTGAAGAGCTGTCCACAGAGCAGTGAAATGACCTATAGAGTTAATGCAGCACTGGCTGTAAGAGAAAAGCTGCAAACAGCCTAAATACCTACCAACGAGGGACTAAGTGTGGCACAAGAAGAAATAATATTTAATTTCAAAAGAAGGAAGAAATTACATACAAATAAAATTCTTTCTATATGGACATATAATAACTCTAAGGGCCAGGTGTGGTGGCACAAGCTTATAATCGCAACACTTGAAAGGCTAGAAGCAAGAGAAATCAGGGGGAGTTTAAGGTCATTCTCGCCTGTGTAGGGAGTTAGAGGCCAGTCTGAGCTACAAGAGAACCCATCTTTTAAAACAACAATAACAAAAATCAAAATACACCATCAAATAAAAGACAAACATGATATACATTCTACTACTTATATGAAACTGAGAAATACACATAAATATAACTGCTTAGCTATATTTAAAGTACCTCTGGTAGGCTATTAACATACTATTGATCATCCCCTCAGACAGGAAGTATGCTTGGGAAACTTTCAACCTATATTCTTTTCTAACTTCTTCATGATTACTAAAAACCACAAATTTTGAAATAAAAATTGGGCCAGTGATGGCTCAGTACGTAAAGGCAGCTGTCACCAAGCCTGACGACCTCAATTCAATCCTCAGAAAGAACCCATGTACGTGGTGGAAGGAGAGAACAGATTCCTGCAAAATGTCTTCTGACTTACACACACACAAAATATATAATGTTAAAAAATAAAAATGAAAAACAAAACAAAAGTAAGTATTTTCAAGCTATTCTTTATCCTTGGATGAGACACAACAGAGAAATCCTATTTCCATTTCCAATCTTCTTCCTAGTCATGGAGAGAATTCAGATTTACCTCTTGCTAGACACCATCTTATTACATGCCATGGGGCTGAAGAGAAAAATCTACCTAAGCTGAGCGTGATGGTGCATGCCTTTAATCCCAGCACTTGGGAGGCAGAGGCAGGTGGATTTCTGTGAGTTCAAGGCTGGCCTGGTCTACATAGTGAGTTCCAGGCCAGCTGGGACTACAGGGAGACCCTATCTCAAAAAGTCCCCCTCCCCCCAAAAAGAAAATTTACCTAAGACAAAGCCCTTTAAAAGCTTAATACAAAAGCATTCTTGGGTATCTATAATACTGAAAAGAACTAAAATGGAATGGCTGAGTAGTAGGGGATGTATCTATCAACAGTGATGCACTATGTGAATGTCTACACTGTTCCAAGCATTGAGATAGATCAGTAGTTCTCAACCTCTGCAACCACGAATTCACCTTTAAAAAATACTGGTGCTTGGGTCTCATTCCTGGAAACTGATGTAGGGGATCTAGGGTATAACCTGGACACTGAGAATTGTTCTCAAGTTGAAAGACAAATGCTATAGATAGAAAGGTGAAAGGTAAATAATACAATTTGGAATGAGAGAGGAATTAAGATTCCTTAAAGTTCCTACCATCTCTGTAGGTAGGTTGGAGGTTCTCAATATTTTTTAAAATTTTATTATTTTTATTTTATGTGTATGCATGTATTGCCTGTATTGTCTGTATGTAGATAAGTGCACCCATGTTGTGCAATGCCCACGGAGGTCAGAAGAGGCTGTCAGATCCCCTGGGACTGGACTTATGGACAGTTGTTAGCTGCCATGTGGGTGCTGGGATACGAACCCAGGTCTTCTACAAGACCAACCAGTGTTCTTAACCACTGAACCATCTCTCCAGCCCCGGTTCTCAATATTTTAAAACATTTTTTATATTTTTACTAATTCTTTGAGAGTGTCACATATTGTATTTTGATCATATTCACACCCCTCCCTCAACTCCTCCAAGATCCACCTCTGCTTCCCTACCAAACAACCCAACTACCCACCCAACTTTGTGTACTCATTTTTTCAAAACCCACAGAGTCCAATCCCACATACTCTTGGGTGTGTGGCCATCTACTGGAGTGTGGCTGACCCACCAGGGGCCACATTCTTAAAGCAAACTAAACCTCTCTCTCCCAGAAGCTAGCAGTTACCAACAGTTCCCTAGCTAGGGTAGGACATCATGACTCTCCCCCCTCCATGCTGACATTTTGTCTTGCTTAAGTTTGTGGTGGCCTTATTGCTGCCACAACCTCTGTGAGATCACAAGTGCTACTGCCCTTGGTGTCCTGAAAACGCTTTGTTCTCTTTCTGACTTAGGTTGTAATGACTAGGTAAAATAATACATCTGTTTAAAGATTTAATATTTTTATTCGTGTGTGTGTGTACGCACACAACCACAAAGGCTAGAAGAGGGTGTTGGAACTGGAGTTAATAAGTGCTTGTGAGCCAGCCTGACATAGGTGCTGGGAACTGAACTTGGTCCTCTGGAAGAACAAGAAGCACTCAACTGCTGAGCCAACTCTCCAGCCCCCCAAATAAAAAATCTAACATATCTAGCAGTTGGTAGTTGCTTGGGAAATAGGTAGCCTTATTTTTTTTTAATAGAAAAAGTGCCTTTATCAAAGTATATTACAATTTCAGCCTGGGCCAGCTTGTTCTGTTTGGGGGTTAAATATAAATTCTAGTGGGAACACTAGAAACAATTTCTAATTCCACTTACTCATTAGTCACTCACAAATACACTGATGTACACAGTAACTCCACAACCACAACCTGGAATGTCAAACGTTATATATAATATTCTAAAAATCCAAGTATGAATTTCTGTACCAAAGATATCATCATAGTAATAGCACCTAACATTTACTGAACATAGCAGTGAGCCACCAGGCTCTTTACTGAAATGTTCTTTCTAAAACGTTACAGCAATAGTTCACTGGAATGACTGTATTTAATCCTTATAAAACTGAGTTATTTTTATCCCATTTCAAAGATCAAAAAAGTTTTAGAGATATAAAGTGCCCAAGGTCACACCTAGGTGGTGGGATTCAAATCCAGCTTCTCACCTCCAGTGCCTGCCTCTCCACATCACCCCAATGCCGCATTCCCTCAGCTTTCTGTTCTCTCCCACACCCACATGTGTGCAAAGCAGTCAGGCCTTAGTGCTGCACATTTTCAGTAGCTTCCTTTTCAGAGTCTAATATAACTAACTGTGCCCACGCCACAGAAACTTTGAGTTGGCCAGACATCAGTTAAAGAAAAATTACATGTAAAAACAAAAGTTATTTCCAGAGGAATGCACTCCATTCCTAATTTTCTTCTTTAAAAAAAAAAAAAAAAAGACAAAGGGAAAGAAAGGTTTTAACGTATACCAACTACATGAGCCCATTTGGTTAAGGAGTCAGTAATTCCAAACTGTCAAAGGTGGGTCTTCATACAGAGACTGCTGAGCACACCTTTGGTATCTTCTTTTGAACATTTACTTGTTTATACACTCCCAAACTTTGGTTGATTTTGCAGACAATATTAGACATTAAATAGAACTTTAAAATTTTTTCATTCAAGGAACTTTTAAAAACTCTTATATTCACTCTGCTTCCATGGGCCTACACAACCCGCAGGACTCTTTCCAAGGTAAGTCGATTGGTCCCTCTGTGCCTTGACACCCCCAGCCTCATTCATCCTCCCACTCCCCCCGCCCTCGAGCCTGGGACCTGTCCAATTCCTCCTCCTGGTGTTCCAGACACCGGGGGAAGAATCACCACTGCTTCCTGATCCTTTGCATCCAGATCAACCCAGTTCCTTCAAGGGTCCCCAGGAGCCCTCTGGTCCTGGCCCCCTCTCGCCTCCCTCTGCTTCCCTGGGCTGCACACCACTAGCCTCTTTCCTGGACACCGGGGCTGACCTATCTACTTCCTGATCCTTTCATCCAGACCAACCCAGTTTGTCAGTGCAGTCCCCAGGAGCCATTGGGGCCTCTTCCCACCCCCATCTCCCTTTGCACCTCTAGGTGGCATGGCCACCAGCTGCCCGAGACCAGCATCTTCCCTGGGCCCCGCTCCCAGGCCAGTCCAACACCCAAATTCCTGACGTCAAAATCTTTCCTGGAGGGATCCAGACCTTAGGAGAAAGCCTGAGAGCATCTGATCCTCATCTGACTTGGGCCTCTGTGGGAACTCCTGAAGACAAAAACAATCTGGCCACTCCAATATAAAATCAAAAGAGAGAACCGGAAGCTTAGAGGAACCAGCATTTCATGCCCAAAAAGTAAACCACAAATACACATAAAGTTTACAAAAAGAAGCAGACCGAAACTTGAAGGCTTGAGTATCACACAGGAATCAGAAACTACAAAAGAAATTCACATGTCAAAATAACAGAGAAAAAATAATACCATGAAAAACCAAAATAAGATACCCCCACCAAATATGAATAGTCTTCTAGAGGAGTACAATCAGAACCCCCTAGAGATAATGCAGGACATGGAACTCAAAAGAACAATTATAAACATGATAAAAGAATTCAGTTAATTGAAAGAACACAAAGAAAGAACTGAAGGAAGATAGGGATAAACTTCTGAATGAATTCAGAAAAGAGCTAGAAATATGGAAGACTACTCAGGCTGAAAAGAAGAAGGAAGTGAAATACCCAGGAGAAAGCCTCACC